GGATGTGTGCATTCCTTTATAATGAGGAATGCTGGACACATGCCTTGAAGTTTTTGATGAATTTTGACTTAATATAAAGATTGATTCTCCACTGTAACAGTCCCACCTTATGCTTAAGATCATGGCCAGCCGCTGGCCCCATGAAAGCTGCCACAACCCTCCTCCAGCACAGTTTAAATTCTGCAAAGTTTGTAGAGCTTCATCGCCGTCGATCTATTCAGCAAGCTTTCGTAGACTATGGAGAAGAATCCGCTCTTTATTGCACGTCGCAAATCTGTAGAGAAACGAGTCGCTTTCACCACATAAAACCAGCGACAATTTGATGGACGATGCTTCAAATTGGTGATTTGTCGCGGCTCAAATTTTTTGGACTTTCCAGCTTCTTCCGTATAGCTTGGCTGTACAAACCATATACGCCCAGGTTGGGCAGAACCTCCTCTATGGTCTTACGCACGAGTGCTTCAATCAGAACTTTTGGCTAATCGGAGACAACCGTCCGATATCCGACCACTACTCTCATCATATTCAAGGCTCTCGCTTTCGTTACAATAACTTTTTGAACTACTGCTTCTGAGCACATTTATTGCGAATCTAGGCCAAGTGCATCGTTAATATCTTGAACTGTTCCCGCTACTTTCAGGTCTATTTAAAGCTAGAAAAAGAAAGTCATGCCAACTTGCTCATCGAGTATACCGCATTCAAAGCTTTGAAAAAGCTATAAGAAAATATTTTAGGACAAAGTTGAGCTAAGCATTGGATAGAGCTGGAAAAGCTCTTCAAAATGATATCAACATCAATTGCAGCTTTCCTAGATTTCAAGGGAAATAAAGCATCCAAAAGTGGAGTGTCAGAAAACGACAGAACTTTCTGAAACACCTAATATATTGCAGCAAAATTTAATAGATTTTGCCTTTCCATTGCCACCACACGTCGTTTATGTTGAATACTAGAAATGTATACCAGGATAGTTCCCTAGCGTTGGAAGTTTCTGAACTTATTCCGTCGCGTTCATGTTTTGTCTTTTTCGCCAAATTTTACGGATGTATAGCGCAGCTGCGCTCGCAAAATCGCGTCCGTCTCACGCATTTAAAAAGCCTCAATGTGTTAATATCAAAGTGACGAACAGAGAAACATACCCAAATTCTGCTTCATACATAGAAAGTGGTGCTGGGAGCTCACGTTTAAAAATGGAGGAAATAATGACGTCTTGCATCTCTCAATCCCGCTCTGTGTTCATGACGTTGAAATAGGTGCTTGTTCCTGAGAACGTTTTGTTCTGTTACGGTGTGTGGCCCTCTTTTCGACCATATTCGTGAATCCAGCCATCCGGCTCTGGTCCAGGTTCAAAGCATGAAGGCTAAAGCTTTCGGTTTTACTCAATCCCTTTCTGAGACACGCCACGCATTTTACTTCCATCCATAATCGTAACGGCGTTTTGAGTGCGACACGGCCTTACGGTGTTTGTTAGGGCTAACTCATGTGGAAGTCATGCCCCCCCCCATGATCCTTCTTAAAAGGCCTGGTATCAATTGACTGACTCAAAGGTATGAAAGGCTAAGGTGACCTAGACGGCGTTTGGCGCTATCGCTAGATACGGTGGCATTCTAGTGGCAACGCATTCCAATCCGCGTGAAACATTTCTGTTAAAACGGCACTAGGCCTAATTTGGGGAGAGTGTTTTCACAGAATTTGTTCCAGGGACCACTCGAGTGGCAAGCACCGCCGGCCACTTAGTACCTCCGACGTTAGTACACATTAGATTCTTCATT